ATGGTTTAGGTCAATAGTAGTGACTTTTCTTTATTATCTGTCAAGTGACAGAAGGTAGGAAAACATACAAAGAATATTAAATTACTGGATCATAGCCTAGAGACTGTGACCTATAAACTTCTAAGACACTTGAGATCTCTCTAGGGAAAATCCTGTTGAGAGGACAGTATAACTGACATGCACAAAGACAAAGAAATGTTTAAAAGTGAAATGTTAAAACCATTAAGTGTGTAGCTATTCAGATCATCCCACTTGATGTGTGTAAGGGGAAAAAGAGAACTGACAATAACTTAAACACAAAGAGTTCATTAAATTTGTAATAAACAGAGACTTTATCAAAAATCCTTAAACAATGTTTTACCCAAAACTTTCGAGTTGCTTAATCCTGATAGCCACAAATATTTGGAGATTTCCAGACAGAAAAACTGAGATCTAAACTGTTCTTCAAGAAATACATTCAAAAATGCAAAAACATCGATTCCTATGACTCATTCCAGCAATTCCAATAAAAAAACAAGAGGGTAGATTGTGAGAATGTCTCTTTGGCCATGCTGGGTAAAGGAAGATGATAGAGGAACACAAATTTGAGTAGTCTAAGATCTAAACAAGTTCTAGTAGAATTGCACAAGCACAACTATGATCTCAGAACGTACCTTGAGATGTCAGAATTCAGCGGAATTATTAGAGCTTTAGTTCCAAGCTGAAATGCTTGTTTCAGTAGGCACAGAAAGAAATTGCAGTACACATTTGCGGGACATGCTATGAGTAAAATCAGTGCTATTCATCTCTCCTTGTGTGTGAAATTTTGCAGTTTACCAGAGTTCAGGCCAAATATACCACCACACTACAAATTTCTGGGTCTGCCCCAAAACCTGTGATCCTCAGAGTGCGTATTTTAATCAGCTAGGACAAACTGAATACAAAGAGACATCTGGTCATGAAGTTGTACTTAACCTCACTGCTGTATACACCTGCTAAATTTTTCACAATATGTATGTCAACTGACGGGAACTTTATCAGTACCAGTGACACTTGTAGTTATACTAAATGAGTCCATAAGGATTACCTGCAAGATTATCTAGATGTTCAAAAGAGCACATTATCCAAAAGAATAAATTACCTCTGAAAGAGTTGACATTGTAATATTAAACAAATTCCAACTGAATAATTTGGTTTTCAAATTGGAATTTTTTGTCTTCTGAGCTCTGGAGGCTTCTCACTGCATCCTTTATTTCTTCAACCTTCCTAAGCCAGCCCATGAAGACTCTTTGGCTCTTTGAACACAGTGCTCTTGGTGAATGCACCAGAATTCATTCTTTCTGACCAGCAATAAGCAATGGGCACAGACTGCCAATGAGGACATATGATAAGTAAAGGAGTCACAGTGTCCCTGTAGAATGGACAGCACGTTACAGGAACCCAGTTCTGTACCTGAGGTGTGTCTCAGGTGTGTCTTTTGTCCCATTTTAGCTGTGCGAAATGAGAATTTTTATTACATTTCTCTATTGGGTGATTCACCAAGAGTACCATTCAAATACAAGTGGAGCTCATGAGGTCATTATGAATATCTAGCGCACAATATGTCCTGCACATGAGAACTGCATTCTTTCTAAGGGTAGGACAACAGACCACAGATACAGGCTTGGAAGTAAACTGCTTGCAGGAGGAATAATTCCAGTATTGGAAGGCAGATGATAATGAAGTTTAAAACAGTAAAAAAGAGTGCTTATAATCAGCATAAATTAAAAGTGGAAATGGAAATGTTTTCCCTTCAACCTTGCATGTGCTTTGTGTCGTGCTTTAACTACTCAGCCCTATAACTTTCATTGAAAATTTCCATCCTATCCCATTGTCCTACTGATGTAATCCAAAGAATGTGACTCCAAGTGAGGCAGCTCTTTATAAAATGAGAAAGGAAAAAAAAAAAAAAAAAAAAAAAAAAAAAGAAAGGAAGAAAGCAAATCAAAGCAAAGCAAAGAAAAAACATAAAGCAAAGCATATTTCCCCCTTTCCAATTATTCTCTTTTCCTAATTTGGTGGCTCAGGATAAATGATTAATGAACATTCAAAACAAGAAACAGCCTGATGAATGTCATGCTCAACTGTACACTATACAAAGAGTTACAAGGATGCTTTTACAGATGCTACTTGACTTAGAAAGGGGAAATATTTTCATCAACCTAAAGGCAACTGAAAATAAAATGTACTGAAAAGGTACAGAATATAAGCAAACATCAGTGTTAAACCTTGGATCTTTTAAAACCTGTCTTGATGATCATTTGGGGAATGTTATGTAACAGAAAGCAATATTGATAATAAAACACTATATATCTCATGCGTGTTATTTCACAGAGTACACTTCTGTTTCTGATTAAGCAAGACTCATTACTGCTATCCACCACCAAGAGGGAGTACTATAGTATGTACCACTAGTTTGAACAGTGAGTATACAGCAACATTAAAAGTAAGATTGGCACTAAATATTTTTCATTTGCCCTGCATCACTGGAGACGTCACTCGGGTTTCTCACACATTATACCAGTTTAGAGTTGAGGCACACCCCCAAAACATTCCATTTTGAAAAATGGTCTTGGTCACTTATTCAGCTTGGTGAGTTCATACTCTTGTCTAAGTTTCCCAGGCAGCTGGAATTAAAGGTGTGCACTACCAGGCCTACTGATGTTTACTGAGATCTAGGCTAAATCATGGTGATTTAAGAACATCAGCCTCAAACTAGCAAGGTGACACATGTCTGTGCTCCCAACAGGAAAGGAGGTGTAAACTATTAAAATGTCTTGCAAACCTTGGCAGCTTAATAAGATCTGGACGCCCCCCCCCAAAAAAAAAAACACAAAAAACGAAAACAAAAAAAGGAAAAGGAGAAGAACGACTTGGTGGGGATACAGCTCAGGTAAAACTATTGAGCTCACTTTGTACAATGAAAAAGCTCAAACACACATTGCAAGCTTTTACATCCAAAAGAATACCCTTCTCATTCTACATCAGTGATGATGTCTACCGCTGCCCTTTTTTTTTGCTATTGGGGATAGAACTCCTGACCTTGCATTTGCCAGGCAGATGCTTATACCACTGAGCTAAATCCCCAGCCCTGTTTACCCTATTTTAAAAAGTATAACAAGACTAATTCACTAATTTCTAATTTTGCCTCAAAAATGATTAGGAGGGTTGAATAGTAGCCACAGAAGAAATATTTACCTGTTTCTAAACTGTTTTTTTAAGCCTCTGACCTTTGACCTAATCTTAGAACAGAAAAACCCTTCATTTATTATCACTCTGAGAATAATGTCACTTCTGAGAAATATACAGTTGTAAAGCTGCTCATTTTGCCACCTTTGCAAATTCCCACTCTCCCAATTCTGTTTCACGTTTATTTGCTATTGCCTATTCAAAAAACTTTCATTCTAGTAATTAAAATGCCAACAGATTAAACTACATGAATTTACCCCTACTTCAGTAATTGTGTGTGTGTGTGTGTGCGTGTGTGTGTTTAAAACAAGGTTTCATTACTCAGCTCAGGCTGGCCTTGAAGTCACTCTGTAGCCCAGGCTGGCCTGGAACTCAGACATCCTCATATCTCAGCTTCCCAAGTGATGGAATTATAAGGCATAGGCCACAGCTGACCAAGTACTTCTTTTATATAAATACCTGATTTGGTGTTTCAAATTTTAAAAGTGTCTACAAACAGCCCTCAGACTATGAAGCAGGTGTTTCAGACTTGACTTTCCCCTTTCCCTTTCCCATCATACCAAGGTCACAATTGCACATTCCTGTAGATGCCTCAGTTCAAAGCATTTCTCAGTGTGAGTCTAAGGGGCAGCCCCTTTCAGAAGTTCTTAGCAGAAATATTTGCCATTCTCTTGGAAGGAGAGTAACATCTTTGTCTTCATGCTAAACTCTATGAAAAGTCTCATTTAAATAGTATACATGTGAAGAAATTGTTTTATTAACATATAAATAAGGCATCCCGCAAGAGAAGGCCCTGAGATACAATTGGGAAATTAGCTATTTTGCAACGAGTTAAAAAGAGAATAGAATGTTGAACCAACAGTGAACTAGCTGCCTAACAAGGAATGCAGATCCTCTACTAAAAGGAGTTGCAGCCATGCCTTATTAAGCTCCTGAGTTTCCAGGAACTAAAAATGCAAAATAACCAGTGTTTCCCTAAAACCTGTTTCTTTTCACAGTGCATGCTGAGTTACATCGCCCGAGTTTAAACCTGTTGCTTTAAATCCAGCGAGGCATGTGTGACAGGTGCCCACTAAACAACTGAAAATGTATTTATAATGCTATACTTATCTATAGGAATCTCTAGATAGCATGGCTATCTAGAGATAGGGCCACTCAAGAAAATTTCGAAAATCAAGGAGCTTCCTACTTATTTCCAATAAGATCTCTCCTAACATCTTTTTCTTTTTGTTCACATCATTCCAGAACGTTGTTAGACCACGAGCTCTGTTTATGCAACAATCACAAATGCAAATAGAGGTCTCACGTAAAAACATTTCATTGCTGAGTATGAAAATCCTTGTCTTCCCAAAACTGCGGCACTCTGCAGTGTGGTGGAGACACAGCGGTGTCCAAGACAGACCAAGAAGGCAGGGTCGCTTGTGGCAGCGCACGCCTGTCATCACAGCAGTTGGAAGGCTGAGGCAGGAAGAGTACTGCGAGTTCAAGCCTAGTTTGGTAATGTAACGAGTTCAGAACCAGCCTGAACTACACAGCGAGCCCCTGTTTTAAAATACTGATAAATAAAGAAACTGCACAGTCACTGTACACTTCCTTATGCTGGAGACTCAGAACTCTCTCTGCCTGAACAGACAACAACGGCACACAGGAACACGCAGCCCCAAAGACGAGGAAGACCCCGTGTCGGACGGAGTTCAGCAGGGAGGCTGCAGGCTGCCACAGCTCTTTCTGACACTTCCATCCGGAAAGCACCCCATCCCATCCCACCCCCAGCGCCCGTCCCACAGCATCACCATTGCGTGGCTTGAAGGTCTCCCGGGATCCTTCTGTGCACGCTGCAGCCAGAACAAGAGACGGCAGTTCAGAACGTCAAAAATAAACTAATAGAAAAGACGGTCCACACAACTGTGGTCTCTCAGCAACGAACTCACAGAACTCACTGCAGCGCCATGACACAGGAAGTGCCCGCCCCCTAGCCCCACCTGATTGGGTACTTCGCAGAGCCCGCCTCCATCGCTGATTGCTTATTGCCAATCAGCGGGGCTGAGAGTGAGGGGAGAAATAAACTTCTGAGAGCAGGGTAGACTTAACTGATAGCTCCTAGCCCCGGAAACTCAGGACCAGTCGTTTTCCTTAGATTCCCCTGTCACCTTGTGTGAGCAATGCTTGCCTTTAAGGGCTTTGCTCTTGGCTTTTCAGAGCGCCCTGGTTTTCGTAATGGACTCAGTGGACTCTTCTGGAAAATGGGTCATAAATGTTCTCAGAAGCTTCCAGGGTCAATGTCCTATGGGAGAATCCCACCCCTGATGACCAATAATATCATGAAGGTAGGCCAGGATTAAATGGAACAGAGGGAGGCCTTGCTGTTAGGAATGAGGCAGTCAATTTCGTTGGCAAGAGTTCCACCCTGTCTCTCAATCTACTCATTTTCATCCAGGAAAATGTATATATGGCCCTGGAGAGGACATCGCATAAATAAAGAAATTAGAGTGGCATGATAGCAAGACTCTGCAAGAGTAAAAATGAAAGAGTAGCAAGCATTCCACCTTCCTCAGACAACATTCACAGTTATCCATGTTTGTAAAAAGTACTTCACTTCTGAAGATAAACCTAATTCCCAGCATGAAGGTCAACAAGATTGGAGAAACAGCCTCACATTTGATCCATGTGATCACTGCCTGGTGATGAGACTGGTTTACAAAAAGGACTTTTAGTGGTAAGCTCCCCATTCTGTGTCGTGGGGCATGAGGTTGAAATTCTCTACCTTGTAACAGTCGTATTTCTCGAACAAAAATACATGGAGTCAGGATACAGTTGTGTGACTAGCTTATTTTACTTGACAGATACATGATATATCAGTAAAGCACACTTCTTGAGGGTCTGGCTGAGGCATGATAGTGTGACCTAAGGGACCAAATGTAGACTCTGGGCCCTCCCTCTCTGTCTGTTTCCCTTCTCTCTGGATCTTGGGTCTCTGAAAAGCCAGTATCTTTGTGCTTTATGTCTATTTACTGTGACATTTCAGGAATAGAAGATTGTTGTCTTAGAAATAATGAAACAATAAAAATTTTCATTTGCTTGTCCTTATTGTTGTTTTTCTCCTCCTCCTCCTCCTCCTCCTCCTCCTCCTCCTGGTCCTTTTCCTCTCTTTTTTTTGGAACTGTGTTGGGGTTTTTTGGTACAGAAATCAAACTCATGATTGCCAGGCTAGTGCTGCAATGCTGAGCTATATCCCTGGTGTCATTTGAGAGTCAGGAAGTTTTCCTTGTGACAAGAGTAACAATGACAAAAATTTAATAAAACTCCTATTAGGTATTTGTTATCAACTAACTTTCTAATACATCAATTTTTTCTTCAGAAAAGCATACAAGTCAATGTTTCTATGTGAATATTGTAAACCAATTTCTTTCATGTGCACATATTTTTTGTTTGAATGCTTCAATTCTTTGCATATCACAGTGACTTTGTCCCTGTACTATCTACCTAAAAAAAAAAAAAAAACTCCCTACATACAGACATCTGGCCCTAAACACATGCTTAATACCAACACATGGCTTCAGACACCTCGTATTTTATTGCAGATCATTATGCATGACTCTTATTGCAAAGCATTATGCATGACTATATGTATTTTTCTTTAAGGAATATTGACGTTAAAAGATGGGGAATTTAAACTTCTGATGAGTCATAGTAGGGCACTGGTAGCTTACAGTTAAAAGTCCTTTTGTATCTCAGTCTCATCACCAGGAAGTATTCAAGTAGATCAAATGTGGGGATATTTCTGCAATCTTTCTGGCCCTCATGCTGGGAAATAGGTTTATCTCCAGAACTGAAGTATTTTTTGTGAGCATGGATAACTGTGAATATTGTCTGAGGGAGCTGGAATGCTTGCTTTTCTTTTTTCTTTCATTTTTACATTTTGCAGAGCATTGCTACCAAGCAACTCTAATTTTTCTTTCTTTTTGTTTATTTATTTATTTTTTTTTGTATTTTGGTATTAGGGATTGAACTCACTGATAGAACTGTGGGGGATAGGCGGCAGCTGAAAAGATTAGAAGTATGAAACATAAATGACCTTTATTTTGAGAATGCGGGGAGAGCCACCAATCCCCTGGGGCGTGGCATCTGTACCCTTGGGTCAGCGATCTTTCTGTGAAACACATGGAGTGAGACACATAAGTAGCTTCGGTTTGGGGTGGAAGCTAAGAGGGCATTAGTGATGCACAGGTAGCCCATTGGTCTTTGTTTGGCGGCATATGTAAATTCCTAGGGGTGGGGGAGATAGAAGCTCCTTGGTTGCACCTGAGGCTTTTCCAGCTACAGTGTCCAGCCTGGGCTCAAACTCTTTCACTCACCACTTTTGGTTACAAATCAGGCACTTGTGACTCTGAGCTAAATCCCTGGCCCTCTTATGTATTTATTTACACCATGATTGCATTCTTCTCAGTGGCCATATATTCATTTTCATGGATGAAAATGAGTAGATTGAGAGACAGTGTGAAAGTCTTGCCAATGACATTGACTGCCTCGTTTCTAACAGCAGGACCTCACTGTGTTCCATGCTATCCTGGCCTGGCCGCCTATATTTTCAATCATCAGGGTCGGGATTCTTCCATACGACATTGACCCTGGAACATTCTGAGAACATTTGTAATCCATTTTCTGGAAGAGTCCACTGAGTCCATTAGGAAAATGAGTGCAGCTCTTAAAAGTCAAGCAAGAAGCCCTTAAATGCAAGGATTCCTCAGGCCAGGTGAGGTTGTCATCTAGGAAAGCCACCTGTCCAGAATTTCCTGGGTTACAAGCTAACAGTGGAGGCCACCCCTGGTCCTGTTGTGTGATTTCTACTGGCTGCGTGGTGAACTCCAAGGATCCTTGGAAACTGTCAAGCCAAGCAATTGTGACCTTGTGGGATGGTGGTGGGGGTGTGTTCCAGATGCATGCAGTTGGAAACAGCCCTGGAGATCTTTAGCCTCCCTGCTGAGCTCCGGACACTGGGGCTTGTGATTCTCTGTTCCTTCATCTTCATCTGTAATGTGTTCACCTCTGCTCAAGAGCGGAGAGCTCTGGGTCTCCAGCAAACAGTGTCCTGTGACATTACTATTCTTACTGGTTGACTTACTTTGGTTTGTTTTGAGACAAGGTCTTACTGTGTAGTTTAGAGTGATTCTAAACTCACTATGTAAGGTAGGCTGGCCTTGAACTTGCAGTAATCCTCCTGCCTCAACCTCCCAACAGCTGTGATTTGAATAATGTGGCTCCATACCCTTCCAATCCAGAATACATTCTTCCTGGTTCCCCAGATACAATTGGATGTCCAGCGGTCTACAGAGAGCAGGCACTTGGGAAAAGAAGTGATTTCATACTCAGTTGCGAATAAGTCATCACTGTAGTTTCTTAAATGAGACCTCTACTTGCAGTTGAGATTACTGCATGAACAGAGCTCGTGCTCTAACAACATCTTGGAATGATTTCCTGAACCAAAAAATGAGTTAGGTTTTTAGGCGCAGTTGAGAGACAAAGAGAGATAAGGAAAAGCCTTTATTGCCTGCATGGGAAGGCTGCAGGAGATGGTAAGGACCCTCGGAGAGCGAAAGCTGGGAGTCTCCTTTTAGGGAGTTGGGCTCAGGGTAGTGACTGTGTCTTAGTGTCAGGAGAGGACTGGAGGATCTTTGGCGCCTGCGGAAGAAGAGCAGGAGATTCATGTTTGGATGAGAAGGGAACCAGGGGCTTAGGGTTAGGGTTAGCATTAGGGTTAGGGTTAGCTGGACTTGAGGTTGGAGGCCTCCTTTTGAATCACCACAGTGATGGTTCAGGCAGAGTCTCATCCATGCGGAATCCTTATAAAATGATGTTAAGAGAGATTTTATTGGCAAGAAGGATAGCCTGTTGATTTTGGGAAGTGTCCCAAGTGAGTAGCTCCATAGCCATGGTACCACAGTTAACTACCGGTAAGTGGAGCATAAGAAAAAAAATACTCTGTTGTTTAGTAGGCACCTATCACAGGTGTCTCTGTGGATTTAAAACAACTGCTTTAAACAGAGACAGTGTGAAACATTTCAGCACACATCGTTTAAAAGAAAAAGATATCAAATGAAAACTGATTATTTTGCACTTAAATTCCTGGAAACTCAGGAGTTTAGGATGAAAGGGCCAAAACTCCCTGTAGTTGGAAAGGGTCTGCATTCTTGGTTAGGCAGAAAGTTCACAATTGGTCCAACAGTCTAGTCATTTTAACTCTTACCAAAATGGTTCACAAAAACAATTGAATCTCAGGTCCTACCCTTGCTAGATGCGTTATTTATATGCTAAAAATTAGTGAAATAGGGATAAATTCTCATAGTTGTCAGCAGGCAATTGAATGAATAGAATAAAAATATTTTTTGAATAGGCAAAAACACATGGGTGTGAAATGAAAAGGCCAGAGGGAGCATTTGGAAAAGTGGCAGAAGTCGGCATCCACAGAATTAAATTTCTCCAGAAATCAAATTGTTCTCAGTGTGATGATGAATGCAGAATTCTTTGATGGCTTGTTCTGAGATTAGATCAGAGGTCACAGGTCTAAAGAAAGGCAGAGATCTTGGTAACTAAATATTTCTTCTGTGATTACTTATCAGGTTACCTAATGACTTTTGAGGCAAAATGAGCAGCTAGGAAACTTGTCTTAAGTTTAAAAATGGGGCAGACATTATTACTGATGTACAGTGGGAAGGCGTTTCTCTTGGCAACAAAAGATTTCAAGGTGTGTTTGAGCTGTTTCATTGTATAAAGAGTGAACTCAGGAATTTTACCCTGAGCTACCTTCCTTCCTTCCTTCCTTCCTTCCTTCCTTCCTTCCTTCCTTCCTTCCTTTCTCTTTCTTTCTTTCTTTCTTTCTTTCTTTCTTTCTTTCTTTCTTTCTTTCTTTCTTTCTTTCTTTCTTTCTTTTCTTTCTCTTTCTCTCTTTCCTTACTCCCTCCCTCCATTC